TAGTAAGTTTAATGGATCGCTCAGCCTACTGGGATTGTCAACATATTTGTTATTCCTTAAAGCGAATTTATTGCCGTGTAAATATTCAGGAGGTGTGATTTACAGATCTTAAACATCTTGCAAAGGGGACGAGGTGTTTTTAGTGCTGGGAATTGCTTCAAGTGCCACAACTTTATTATTGCCAACAAGCCAGTTCAGGCAGTCGGAGATTAGCCACGTCTAATTTGAGATCGTATGTTTCTATAATATATTGGCGGAAAACAATCAGAAAATAGAAAAATAGTTCTCATTCATTTTAAAGCCAGGAAACACATATTAGTCTCAGTGGATGATGAACAATCAAGAACACGTTTTATAGAATTCAAGTAAAATTACTTATAAACCAGAGGTTTTACAAAATAAATGCTAAATCTTTTCAAAAAGACACCCTTCGCAGTATAAATCAAATTTGAAGGTAAATCCTGAATAGCAATAGGACCAAACCGGGTTACTTTAGATTATTCAGTTTTCTTAAAGAAGCTGAGAACAGATATACGATGAATTTGAAATTCTACTGGAAAGTCTCCAAGACAAAGGCAGCTCCCCACGATTTACTACTTGCTTTATTTCACAAGATTAGAAAGATTTTTAATTATTACCCCGAAGAGGTTGGAAGCTGGCCAAAGAACAAGCGAATAAATTTGGACGAGTTTTATTAGCATTCTTATCTTGGTAAAATCGTCAATAAATATTAGTGCGATGTTAATGTAAAATGTAAAATTCAGTGCAGTAACTCATTAGCGAAGTCTTTTACAATTGGCTCTTAAGAACAAACTTTAAACTTGAGCAACTATCAATTTATAATAAGAAAACGCAGTTCTTACGAGTCTTTTTTCTGTGAAATTTTAGCGAAAATCATCATTTAAAACTCAAATAAAAGTAGAAGACCGTTGAAAAATCATTAAACTCTGGATTTAACGAAACTAGTCGGGACCATTTTGAATTGTTATTAGAAGCTGCTAAAACTTGATAGAAAATGGGAAGTTTAAAATCAATAAAAATAAGGAAAGGCAGAAATTGAGAGAATGTATTCCCAAATTGTAATTAAGATCAGATTATGTCAATGAAACTATTGGACGTTTTCGTTTTACCCTACCTAAACAGGATGTATTTCGTTTCAGATTGTTTCAAACGTTTTTTGTTTTTGGTTATGCAAATCGCATTTTCATTTAAAAGGGGCTAAGTGGGTTTTTAGTGTAAAATAAAAAAGTTAATAAGTGAAATAAAAAAACGAAAACCCGCAAAAATAAAATGTGATGAAGCAGATTAAATGACTATGCAATGTCTTACGTAATTAATAATATTTCGTAACTTAATACTTACTAAAATTTCCGAATTTTTGCAGCAGTAATTTAGTTATATTTTGGGTTTTATCCCTAATTAAATTGTACTTACATTTGTTAAGTAATACACAATGTATCCGGTTTGAAAAAATAGATTTTTTGAAATATTTTATAAACGCGGTGTTAAAACCATGAATTAAAAATATGACTTATGTTTTTAATTCTCAAAATTAAATAGCATTCATTTTAAATCAAATGGCAAAATCGGCAAAGGAAAGTTAACTGAGATGAAGTATAATAAATAATTAACATGAAAAAAGTACTTTTTAATTATAATATTATTTAAAAACTCATTCTTTAAATATCGCCAGAAGAAAATAAACACAGGATAAAACATTTAACTATAACAATTTTTAACGAAGAATACGAAAAAAATCAAGAATTCGGCAAGGGAGGCACTTGGAGAACGAACTATAAAAGTGAACCAAGTAATAAACCACAAGACACCATGGTTCCGCCCAGCAGTCAAGGAACAGTGCAAAGAAAAAAGAAAAGCCTACCTAAAATATTGTACTATGCGATCGCCAGAATCATATAATGCATATAAGCAAGTTAGGAACAAAACTAAAGAATTAATGAGAAAAACCAAAAACGGTCACTGGTCAATGTTCTCCAAACGCCTGGAAAATGATTTCTACGGGCTTCAAAAGCAGATATGGCGATTCATAAGATTGCTCTCTTAAAAGATAAGAGGTCTGCTGGAACCAACCCACATAAAAAGGAAGAGTGGATCAGATAAATATCTGATCGGTTAAATAACAGATCTGTATAAAACGACAAACACGGCAGATGAGCCTACCACAACAGAAATAACTATTAACGAAGATGGCACGATCAATACATCCGACGTAGAAATCGCACTACAGAAACTAAGAAATAGAAAAAGCGTAGGGCAAGACGGTATAGAGAATGAATTACTCAAATACGGTGGACAAAGACTAACAGAGGAATTAACAACTTTAATACAGAAAATTAAATATCAACACAAAATCCCAGATGAATGGCGAACCAGCACTACTGTGCTAATATTAAAAAAAGGGGACAAGAGAATACCATCAAATTATAGAGGAATGAACCTTTTAAGCACTGCTCTAAAACTAACAACTAAAGTAATTACGAACAAAATCAACAATCTTACATCGTTGGCGGACGAACAACAGGGATTCAGATCGGGAAGATCTTGCACGCCGTGTTCGTATTAAGACCAATAGTCGATAAATCGATTGAATAGAACAAGCCAGCGTTTATATGTTTTGTTGATCTAACTAGAGCATTTGACCGTGTCCAGCTGAAAGACGTCCTGCATCTCCTTTACAACAGGCAAATCCCACACAATCTCATGAAAACCATAGAGAACATATATAAGTACAAACATTAAAATACGAACACAACTAGAAGGAGACCTCACAAAACCAAAACCAGCGGGTAGCGGTATTCGTCAGCGAGACTCCCTGAGTCCTACCTTCTTCAATTTAATAATGGAAGAAATTGTTCGAAGTGTTTGAGGGCTAAAGGGATACAAAATGGAGGATGCAGAAATCAAAATAGTGTCGACTGAGTGAAAATGACTTACAAAGGTTATTACTTATTCAACCTGACAGCCAAGTCTTTAAATATGGAAATATCACTGACCAAAACAAAGTCCTTAAGAACATCAAAAAACCCTCTAAGATGCAAACTGGAACTTGACGGTAACGTAATCGAGCAGAAAATTAAATTTAACTACCTTGGCGTGGAACTTTCCGGCTTTGGGGATATTGAGGCAGAGGTGAGAGATCAAACAACAAAAGCAATTAGAATAGCTGGCTGTCTGAATGCCATATGATGCAATAACAGTGTGGGAACGGACACTAAATCGAGGATCTACAAAACCGTCGTGAGGCGGATGATATACCGCAGAGACCAGGCCAGAAACAGCGAAAACCAAAAGACTCCTAGAGACAGCTGAGATGAAATTACTCCTTAGAATCACCGGAGAAAAACACTGGATGGATAGAGAGAGAATCGAGGAGATCAGAACAGCTTGTAATGTCAAGAACAGCAATAAATGGGTAACAAACAGGAAGAAGGAATGGAATGAGCACATACACAGGATGGACCACCGCAGACTTGTGATAATCGCTCGCGACAAGTCCCCATTGGAACGAAGAGACGCGAAGGGCGCCCCAGGAAACGATAGAGCGACAGCCTCACGCAAGTGTACGATAATTCAACAGGCGATTCGCCCAAAATCAAGAATGAAGAGGAAGAATTTTATAACAGTAACAACTAATTTCCCACATACCTACCAATAATCGAAATATTTCTTTTCGTTCTTCTGCTTGTGAAATCACCAACTGAGTTAAATTAATCTCCAAAATCAACCATCACATATTATGCATTTCAAGCCATAAAATATACCCACTGACCAACATAACCATCTACCTCACCTACTAAGGTAAAAAAACGCATTCCATTTATAAAAAAAGGACTCATAATACATTGTCTTCTATGCAATGCGCAAGTGATTACCTTTAACTTATCTCGATCGTAAATTTCCTCTTATAAGGATAAACATGAACTTTCCCAGACAGGTCTGTATGGTACAATTGAAATATATTCGAGACGCAAAAATAACACCTTCACACAAATCAGGCAAAGTTTATAGTTATTACAGGCCAGTGCTTCCCACTTACAAAGGTGAAACCCACATTTACGCCACCATGCAGATATACGTCTACATAATGTCGGAGGGTAAAAACTGAAAGTCGTAATTACCAGTTAGTGAATGCTATAAAACGGATTTTTGCAGAAGCAGCTACTCCGATTTGGTTTTTTCACTGCTTTCCACAAAAAAATGTTTTAAGTACTGAATGAACTGTAATAATAAAGTGAACTAATACAGTGTATTGGCACACTAGTTGAGTGACATCGGGGACAAAATGTGTTATTTCCTGACATATTTGTATTTTTAATTTTTCTTATTCTCTAGCGCTTTTGATGTAAAACTACTTTCGACTCGACTGTGAAACTTTCACTTATTGTTAGTTCTGATAATATCGGCAATATTCGTTTACATTAAAACCTATTCATTTGCATAACAAAAGGACAGTGAAAATAACACGATAACAAACGAAAGATGAAAACGAATGTTCAATCAATCATCTGTGTACCTACATCATATTATTTTGAAATAGAGACAAGAGGAAACTGTATAAGTTGACATGAGAAGTCAAACTTTATTTTTAAAAACAAAAAATTAGTTTTTCTTCACTGAAAAAAGCGCATAAATTGAACTAAAGCAAATATTAAAATATTCTAGAAAAATAAAACTCCGTTTAAAACACATATGCTGAATTTGGCACGTTTAACGGCTGCTTGTATTGCCATAAATATACATCGTCACGTTTTAAAATGAAAAATGATGATGGACTTAATTTGTATTGTTGTAATGTTGATGTAAACACAATTTAAACCGTAACTACCGTTTAATGCTTAATCTCATTCCAAATAATTAAATAAATGGTATAATCCACCCCAAAGTTTACAAGATTTCATTAATTTCGATTATTTGCGATCAATTTTATCATACGTAAGGTATCTACATAAGGAAACTGTTCTAAGAAGTCATATTTTTTATGCATAACAATGCCTTCTAATTTTCAGACTTTTTGCCCACAAATAGGAAAAAAATGATCCAAAAGTGAATTAAACTAATACGTAACAGAATTTCCTCCTATCAACACCTCTATTTCTCCTGGCCTCGAAACTTAGCACCAGTAAAACTTGGGGTTTCGCCTCTACACAAATTACAATGTTTCAGTCAATTTAGCAGGTTTCGGTCTAAACTTTAGTAACCAAACTTTCGCTGAAATTAAGTTGTTGATTGTGTTTCGTACTTCCTTGGACTTGGTAAATACGTCTCTAACCTTGGAAAGATTTATCATCTTCTTTAATCCAGTTTTTATTAATTAATTCCCATTGGCGATTCACTTAACACCTAGGTAGGTACCTTGATAAATCGCATATAATGGCCAGTTACAGGGCTTGAAGATGAATCGCGGAGGTTTTCACTCAGTTACTCACTCCTTTCGTTAATGATGTGTCAACATCATATCTATTTCATGACATTTAGTCGTATGCGTGCCGCAGAGCAATTTCTCACTAAAGATTGATGGGTTTAATTAAATACTTAAAATATTCATATAAATCAATCATGTGCTCGGATATCGACTTCAACGGAGACACGACAACTGATATCTATCGGTTTAATGATTATCATACATTAGGCGATGGGAAAACGAAATCGTGAAATCCACAATCAAGTACTTTAAGGTAAGAGTTTTCAAGCAAATAATAGTATTCTCAGTGTTTTCACATGAAAACTTACGCCTAAAGGGGCACGTGAACCGAAGCCTTTCTTCTGCAAATTATAAAGACAAATATGGGCTCGAAACTACCGTTTAAACTAGACTATTTCACTCAACGAACGTCGAGTTTGCTCTTTAAAGTGCCAGTCGCAATTTACCAAATTAACATAAATCCCTAATAGTATCAGTAAGGATATACCTACAAAACGCTTGTTCAATGAAACAACAATTGCAAAGTAACCGGTTTCAACATCATAAATTATAAATAATGGCAAGAAGCTGTTCTGTTAAATGTGTTTTGGCACATTTAGTACATTCATTTAAGTATTCTCAATTAAATCGCGTTTAATCAAACTGAATAAGAAATAAATTGAATCATTGTGTTTACTAAACAGATGGATTAAGTCGAATTTCTGAATCTGTTTGAAATGAATTTGCCAGAACAAAGTATCCAGCTTTCAACGGGAAAAATATATTTTCCTAAGCCCCCTTTCGTGTGTTCAGGCATAGAAAGATAAATTTCCTAACTTTCCTTTATTACAACATGGTAGACATGGTTTAGATCGTGTTGAATATTTGAACGGCAAGTACAAGCAGTTTCGCAAAATAATCAGCAAGTATAAGAATGTGGAACTCAGCACAGCAACAATTACCGCGTTAATTGATTACGTTTTAACTTATTTAAGGCACTAAATAACGAAAATGTGTGTGGTTTTCTCGAAATGCTTCATATATTTACGTTATTAATGACAGACTGAATGACATATTTTTTATTGGTCGGGACAAACCCTCCACATAATGCAGCAACATCAAAGGCACTGGTATTCAAAAAAATAATCTATTAGCAAATGATCAAACCAATGTTTTAATGTTATTCAGTAGTGATAGTCAATTTTTAATGGAAAAGTTGTTGAAGTGATTGAAACTTTGCGCTTTCTAAAACGAAAGATTGTTTTCCTTAGCTAAATTTGGATCAATAAGGTTATCGGAGCTACCGGTGCCAGAAGCTTTTGCTATTGAATTATTCACATTAACTCCAATTAGTCCGTAAGTCAAACGGTTCAATAGAAGAGGGTGTAGGAATGAAAGTGGAAGCACAAGGGAATGCACTTTTTCCAATTAAATTAAAAATCCAGCAAAAATCACGGATAACTGATAATTTGCGCCTGTTTTTATACATGTTATACAGCGGCTTAATCTTCTATTTGCTGTAAAATCTTTACGTATTCATATTGAACACCTTCTTTTGCTGTTTGAGTAAGGAAAACTTCCACTTTGAACAAATCTCGGGGGATAATGTTTGAACTTTTTCCAAATCTCGATTCCCGATTCCATTTAACTCGATTTTTTTGCGGATTTTAAACTCAAGTGGCTGCGGCAAATAAAAATATCAAATGTCTTGCTCTAGATCTAATAGAGAGAAATATTAAAAGACCAGTCCCCTTTCCTAAGAAACTTGAGAACATTTTTTGGATAGTGAAATTACATTTTATTTTTGCAGGTTGTACACACACAAACCTCTACTTTAAATTTACTAAAAGTTCAACAATATTTCACTCTTAGAAAAATGTAGGGAGACAAAAATCGAGAAGTAGGTATCCTGATTTAGCTGCATTTTCTATGATTTCCATACTTAAGTCTCTACTACAGTATCTACTTCTTCTGGAAATTACAGTCGAGAAAAAGTTTAAAGAAAGCTTTTACTTGAAGCAAATCATGAGAACAGCGTTTGCATTTTTTTTATTATTGAGATTTTCTACTAAAGCAAGTGAGCTGAACTAGTTAAAAAATGCAACCTTCTTCTTGCTCCAGTTGGAAGCCGAGGAATTATTGATCAAATGATTGTTATTGACCAAAATTCTCAGAGCAAGTTCAAGTCCACACTAGAGCGAGTCATGCAAACTACGAAATTGTTTGGTAATGCGATAATTTCAAACACCTCTTTCTTTCATTGCCAAATAACGAATATTTGAAGAAATAGCTACTTAATCTTAGACACAAGATCGGAAAATTCGATCCGATATAATCTCGATCTTTAATCTATTCGCTATCTACTCTAAAACATAACTTGGTTTGAAAACACTACAGTGGAATTAGCAATAAATGACCCAAAAACGATAATAATGATAAAATGAATATCCCAGAGTAAAGTAAAATATAAATAGTATCTCAAGTTGTACGATAGACAGATTTCCCTTCTTCAAATGGTTTCTGGAAGCATACATCATGTAAATGTAAATTTAAAGTATGCGGTTCAAACGACTACACCCTCTTCACGTTAAAGCAGATCAAATAACTAGTAACTAGCAACGGCTTGACACTTTAAACGATCCTAACCCGATCGAGAAATTCTGCCATAAATATGTAAAACGATCCAGCCTTAAAAGGCGCGCCTTGAAGTTGTGCCCCATTGTTAAACATAATCGTATAGAATGTACGACAGCGAATTCAGGTAGCCGTTAAAGATATTACAAAGTTGCTCTTTTACGATACCACTCTTAAATATTTCCTTTGATTTATGCGAGTTCAAGTAGAGATAAATCAGAGCCATCGAGATCTCTTCCTGGAAATTTTGCTAAACTGAACATTGAGAACGACTAGCGCAACGACGTTCTCCCAAGAACTCAAGGGTTTTGAACTAATTTTCTTTTTATTGCATGTAAATTATGGCTCCATTATGTTCCAGTATGAAACATTCGGATTTGCAACGCGTTTCTATAACATGCGAGCGTGATCTGAATATGCTGAAGAAAATTCTTTAAATTCTGCCAGGAGAAGTTGCAGAATTACTGTATGAACTCAATTTCAAATTCAAAATTAAAGAGCAAAGCTCCATGCTTAGCTCCATGCAGCTCCAATTCCCTCCTCATGTGCATAATGCTTTATGGATTTATAAATTGTTTTATCGCTGTATTCTTGAAAATCATTCCGTTTTTTTGAGGATTTTTGTAAATTCTATTTATCTCTAATTGAAGTGAAAAAATGTAAATTTCTTACAGCAAATGGTTTCTCGTTTCACCCACAGGGCTTCAACGGAAGCTCCCATCTTTTCATATTCCGATTGACTTGTTACATCTGACCGATAAACGTTTTGAGCGAATATGTGAATATTATTCAAAACACTCATAAGTGAACCCTAATAAAGTTAAAATGCACTCTCGACAGAGACGGTTTTCCCAAGGGTGGGCCAATCTTGTGCTTTAATAGCAGCCCTTAAGGGTGCTTTTGTACCTGTTATAAGGCTTTTTCGTCCGTCGACCCCTTCGGATAAGGAGGGCCTACAGGATTTCTGGCTGATTTATTATAGGCTGCCTAAGGACACAATTAAAAATTTGAAACAGTAATTTGTGGCTTCCAAATGGCTTCCTCGGGGTGTATTTAGGCTTGTCGGTATGTTATATAATTTAATTCCAGTTGCCCTTAAATATGCCCAAATGTTTCATGTGGAAAGTAGTGAATTTCATCGGCACCTTTTCATAATCCTTTAATAACTTTTTTACGGTATATGTATATATTCAAAATGCATAATATCAGAAAAAATTGTTTAGAGAATGTGGAAGATATTTTAGTTAAATTAATATCACTAGACTAAGACATGAGACGTAACTATAAAAATTAGAACATATGTGGGGTCGCAAAGTAGCAGATGTTGGGATAGAACCGACATTGATATTAAAAGGTGAACAGTTTTCTCCATTTCGACTTTTATAGACTTCGATCGTTTCAGAAATGTTTCCAGTTTTCAAGCAAAAAATTCAAAATTAAATAGAGTCTTTAAAACCGCTTTTAGTTTTTTGGCTCAATTTATTTAGAGAACTGGTGGAGCTGCAAAGCTCTAGTTGTCATTTCGCGATATAGTCTTCAAATACGCATTTTTAATACCAAAGGACATTTTATAAATGTTTTGAGTTTTCACCCAAAATGCTAAAATTAAAAATAAGATCGGGTCTTGAAAACCGCTCTTAGTCTGTGGCTCAAATTTAGAGAAACGGTTGAGCTGCAAAGTTCTAGTTGTCATTGCGCGATAGAGTCATAAAAACAATTTTTTTTATCAAATATAATTTTATAAATGTTTCTAGTATTCAAGCAAAATGCAAAAATTCCAAATTAAATCGTTCCTAGTCTTTCGCTCAAATTTAGATAATTGAACAGCAAAGTTCTTGTCATAATTGCGCGATAGAGTTGTAAAATGTGCACTTTTTTACACCAAAAATCATTTTAGAAACTTTCTTTCTGGTTTCTGGTATTTACGCAACATGCGAAATATCAAACGGAATCTTAAAAACCACTCTTTGGCTTAAATTTAGCGAATTGGTTGTGCTGCAAAGCTCTAGTTGTCATTACGTCATTTTAAAAATATTTCAAATTTTCACGTAAATAGTGATAATTCACGTAAATAGTTGATTAAGTTTGAAGTCTGTACTATAAATCCTATATATTTATTTTGAGTGAATGAAAAACAAGTGACTTTTCCTAAATCCGAGTAACGAACGGATCGCTTTATGTTATAACTTTTAACACTATCTATAAACTCTTACAAAACCTATAACAACTTTAAAATTTCGACTATAAATAAATAATCGAAAAGCAGAGCCATAATCCCCATGCAAATTCAGGTCTACATTAACATCCCCACACATTTAGAAATATGATTCCTCTAATTTAAACCTACAAAACATAATATGTATATACAGAAAAAAAAGTTCTGATTTTGAAATTA